ATATTTATTCACATGGGAATCAGTTAAGTGTAAGAAATGAGAAATTTAAAGGTAAATAGGTGTTCCTATCAGATCAGACCTCTAAAGAAGTACCATCATGTTTTCTTACAGTTTTTTAGTGTCTTTTATTTTTTTATTCTATTTTTTTATTTTTTAAGTAATCTCTCCACCCAACATGGGGACTTGAACACATGACCCCACAATAAATAAAGAGTTGCTTGCTCTAAGTGAACCAGCCAGAAGCTCCAGTACCATCATTTCTTGATCATATTCAAAACTGCAAATTTTTATATTCTTCGTTATGTTTTCCTCGTCACCACTTAGCTGCTTTGCTTTCCTTGTGGTCTTTTCCACTCATAGTTTGTGGCCTCTCATTTTTTTTTTTTTTTTAACTTGTACACACTGAAGGAGTAGCAATGTAAAAGGGTCCAAGGCCAACTTTACTTCAAATTCTCCTCACTTTCAATTTGTCTTACCAGACCTCTGTTTTTGTTTCATTCTCCAGGATTAGAAGAAAGTTAGTTAGCCTACATTTATTTCAGATATGTGAGAATGTTTATGTTACATATAGGGATCAAGTTGAAAGCCACTGTTTGGGAGCTAAGACTGAATAGTAAAATCAGTATACAATACTTTCTAATATGAATGATTTATCTGGCTCAGATTTCACATTATTCTTAACACTATTCTAAGAAGATAGTATCTGTATGTAGAAACATGTCTCGCTGATAATTTGTTATGTAACTAAGTATTAATGAAAATGAAACTTTTGGTGTCATCTGTTTTTCCCAAATTAGGAGTAAATACTAAGATTTAGCATCAAATTTATAATATTTCAATTTTTGCTCCATGAGCGCAACTAATTTTTGTAAGTAAATATTGGGTTTTTTGATATTAAAACCAGTTGTTAGTCTCACATGCCCACCTGATGACAATGTGGGAAGCTGGTAGGGACTGTGGTCAGCTATAGCAAGTACTGCATGAAGGTGTTCTAGCTCAAATGATGAAAAACTGTTCTGTTTGCCTAACAAAGTGTATTCTGAAGGCTGACTGTTTTGTAATCCTTGATCTGAAATTGTTTGGGTCTGAAATTATAAAAGAATTAAATTATAAAATGGTAAATGGCTGACCTTTTTTTATGAAATCATCTGTTACTTTAAAATCAAAAGATAAGCATGAAGAAGTAATAAAAAAAGTATCATAAACCTAGTTAGTACAGATGCCATCTATATTTAAAATAACTTCCTCGTAATTATTTTTTGTTAATAAGATGAATGGAACCTTCTTGATTATAGGTTTATTTTTATTATTTTTTATTTTTAAGTGGTCAGCTTCTGTTCTTCCATAAAACTTCAAATAAAAATCATTTTAGCTGTAACCAAAAACTGAAGTCTTTAAAAAATGGCAGATGTAATTTAAAAACAGTATATACTAATTTAGTTTGCTGTATGATTATGGTCTAATGGAAGTTTCATAAGCTCTCTTTTCTCTTAATTCAGAAAAGTATATGTCAGAGTTTTGGAATATGTCTTTAGCCAAGAATTTTATCCACTTACATATGTTTACAAACTTATATAAAGCAAAAAAGAATGTATGTAACTATAGTGAGCAATATAGTTTTGCTCATGTTATCTGATGTTTGCCAAAAGAAGAATAAAAGATGTATGAATTAAATCATTTGTTCGTTCAAATTGTTATTCTTAAACAATTTTACAATTTAGAAATAGGGAAAATCTTGTTTTAGAATTTTATCCTGGCTTTATTTTGTCCTTATATATAATTGAGAATAATACAATCCCAAATTCTTGCTTTAAGGGTTTTGGAATAAATATATAAACATAGCACTATGTCTCAGACAAAATAGAGGAACATAAGGAGATAGGCATTTAAGCCATGGCTCTTAGAAATCAGGTTGAAGTTTTAAACCTTTTAAAATAATGAAGGTTATTTAGGGTAAATGAAATTGAAGAATATTCTAAGACTCATGGGTGTTGAAGAAGGAAATTTGCACAAACTAATGCTGGTACAGGATTGTTAATGTATTGTTTTGGTCCAGGTGTCATGAACTAGCTGAAGGAGATCTGTTGTGTTCCTGAGAATTTAATTGGTAATTTCATCATATTTTTACTGTTATTGAACAAATGAGTGTGATTTTTCTTCCTTTCCATATGTTTTCACATACTGATTCTTTCCTGTCTTAGATCTTCTTTAAAACCATTTTCCATCTTGCAGAAAAAACATAACTCAAAGGGTTTTGATTTTTTTTTTTTTAAAGCAAGTTGTAGGAATTATCATTTCTTGTTCACCACCCTTCCTACTTGAAGGCCTTTGAGCTGCCATTGGGAATTGAGAACTTCACCCAACCTATTTCACCTAGCTTACTGTCCTGGTCTCCATTTCATCAGCACCAACTCCCACCTGGCCAGGGCTGGGTACCCCAGTTCATACATGTTGGTTTCTAGTAACCACACACTAGTAATTAGTATTATTTGTATTTAGTTTATTATTATTGTTATTATTATTTTCCTTTAGTCTGTAAGTGCTTAGAAACAACTTGTTGACTTACTAAATTATCTAGCACACTGCCTGGCCTATATAGTAAGTGCTTATTAATAAATGTTGACAGTCATAAGATCAATTGAGAGGATAAGATTGGACTCTTAAGGAGTTGTCATTAGGTTAATGGACCATTAAGAGTACAGAGAGGTATTGACTTAGTATTGTGCCTGCTCACAAAAGGGCTGCTTTCTAATTTTCCTAACCCCTTGGATAAATCCTTAAGTCTTTAGGTCAATTTAAGGGAGGAATAGAACCCAAGAGAGCTTTTCTTTTTTCTTCTGACACTTGTTTTGTTTTGTTTTGCCTTCATGTATCAATTTACAGAATATAAAGATTCTTTATAAGTATACAGACCAAGAAACTATTAAGAACTTTGTTAATATATTGGCCAGGAAGAAGTTTCTAGTTGTCTTCTTTCAGTAGAATAAGGATGATGATTAGTGTAACTTATTGAATCAGATTACAGCTCTCTGCTGAAACTATCAATGCTCTGAACAGAGATGACTTCCAGTCTTCCTGCTGATTTTTCTTCTCCATGTTACCCTTACCTTGACAAAAGGAAACCCCTGTTTACTGTTTATTTACTGTTTATAATCTTAAGCAATACAGTATCAACCTGAGGACTAGTGAGAACCCAGTGTAGGAGTTTGCTGAGCAAAAATAAGAATCTAGTTTTAAAGAATAAACTGCTGTTTTTGAATCAGATATTTTCTCCCCTGAAATGAGAAGGGCATTCTACACCTATCTCAGAGTTTGTCAACAATGACACTACAGACATTTTAAGCTGGATAACTGTCATGAGGGCTGCCCTGTGCATTATAAGACACTTAGCATTGCTGGCTTCTAGCAACCAAGTGCCGGTGGTACTCTTCCCCGCACCCCCCACCCCCGGAGGTGTGAGGAAGGAAAATGTCTCCCAACATTTTCAATGTCTCCCTGGGGACAAAATCACCCCTAAATGAGAACCACTTACTATATCATAAGTTGTACTGCTAATGAGGTTGGCAAGTTTTAAGGAAAACCATTTAGAATAAAAATGGGGCACATTAGAGCTATTCGTCTGTTTTTTGTAACTTTGTCAACTGCCTAAAGCTAGACTTTACATGAACCCCCTTTGAAAAGCTCAATGGACCTTCTTTTTTCCCTTCTATTTTCAGACTGTATCCTGACCCAGTGAGATGTGTTTATTTGACTTGTGAGACGACTGGTGGTAGGATAGACTAAGTCTGTGGTAACAACTCAAAAATCTTGGTGGCGTGTTCGACAAAGGAGTGTTTTTTGTGTGTGCTATGTTTTTGCCAGTTGGCTGGGAGCTGTGCTCCATGTCTGTATACTCTGGGACCCAAGCTGTCACCATCTTAAACTTTTCTAGGAGAGAGCATTCTGGAGAGTTTCACTCCAACAAATAAATTCTGTGGTTCAGAAGGAACAGTCTGGTTTCCATTCGTTGACTTCAATTCTTCATACGGCCTCACCCAAACAGGAAAGTACCCAGAGGTATAGCCCTGCCATGCATGTGTCCTTAAGACAGCTGAAATAATTGGTGAACATCATTAAGGATTTTCACATGTACTGGAGAGACTGGAATTTGGAGTCAGACCTAGATTTAAGTCTTGACTGGCACTTAACTAACTTTTCAAACTGTGCATAAATTGGGGTGCCTGGACGGCTCATTAGGTTAAGTGTCTGACTCTTGCTTTCCACTCAGGTCATGTTATCTCAGTTCGTGAGTTCAAGCCCTGCTTCGGGCTCTGCGCTGACAGTGCGGAACCTGCTTGGGATTCTGTCTCCCCCTCTCTCAGCCCCTCCCCCACTTACTCTCCATCTCTCTCTCGAATAAAAATAAACTTTAAAAAAAAGCACATAAATTTAACTTTTCAGAACACCAGTTTGCTTGTTCTAAAATAGGAATAATAACATTTACCTAGTGGAACAATAAAATATGAAAGTTTAGACAACACATCTTGCATTTTAGCATATGCTCATAGCATAATTTATGGTAAATAAAAATAATGATTATTTTGCTGTGGTGTGTGTGGGGGGGGGAGAGGGGGGATGTTTTTGCTAGTATGTCACCAGAAAGGGAGGCAGACATGATAGAAAGGCTGTTGATTTCTTTTGGGAAAGTGGGATTGGGATTGTCGAGGTGGTTCACAAAGCAGAGCCCAGAGATGCTAGAAGGAGGGGGAGTTTCACTGTTGCCCTTGGTATTCAGCACAGAGGAATTTTCAGTAGCTTGTAGGTCATTATGACACGTAGGAAGCACTGAGATGGTAAAGTGAAAATTCTCATAGTATTTGTTTAGCTTCCTGTTATCTCAAAGGTTGACATTTATATTCTGTTTGGAATTGAGCTGTCAAGATTCTTGATCAGAATAGAATTTTTCAGGCTTGGCTGGGATATTCTTAACTGATTTTTTAAATGATATTGGTGAATTAATGTGAATTAAGGAAACACCTTTGGTAAGCTCCACAAAGAACGCCCACAACTGTCTGGGTTTAATCTCCACCACTGCACTGAAACTGCTTCTAGAAGCGGTGCCAGTGATCACCTTCCTGTTCTTCCTCCTGGAAATTTCTGCTGCATTTAACACTGTAGACCACTCACTCCTTGAAATTCTCTCTTGCTGTTCACCACACTACTCTGCTGGTTCCTCCTCCTCAGCTCTGTTCTTGCTGCCCCTGTTCCCTTGACTGTCTTTCAGGATGTTCTCCTTGATTCCTTTTCTCTTGCTCCACCAGACTTCCGAACTGGTGGGCTGAATGTGACCCAAGAGGTATTTTGCTTGACCTATGCAGCGATGTAAAGAAAATTAGAAAGTGAATTAGTTAGTAGTATTTACAAACTGGGAGATTTCACTTAATTAAGATCCATATTTCCACTTCTCAAAAAAATCAAAACTGTCAACACGGAGCCAGGTTTTCCTCATGGCAGCACTCAGCATGCATGTTGTTTGTCCACCACCACCCTCAGCTGGTCTGTGAAAATAAATTTCATGTCTCCGTCAAGAATGCCTCGGTCTCACTTTTGCACTGCTGGTGGGAATGCGCTCTGGTGCAGCCACTCTGGAAAACAGTATGGAGATTCCTCAAAAAATTAAAAATAGAACTACCCTATGATCCAGCAATTGCACTATTAGTTATTTATCCAAAGGACACAAAAATGCTGATTTGAAGGGGTACATGCACCCCAATGTTTATAGCAGCAACAGCCAAATTATGGAAAGAACCCAAATGTCCATCAACCGATGAATGGATAAAGAAGATGTGGTATAGGGGTGCCTGGGTGGCTCAGTTGGTTAAGCGGCCGACTTTGGCTCAGGTCATGATCTCGTGGTCTGTGAGTTCGAGCCCCGCGTCAGGCTCTGTGCTGACCACTCAGAGCCGGGAGCCTGTTTCGGATTCTGTGTCTCCCTCTCTCTGACCCTCCCCCGTTCATGTTCTGTCTCTCTGTCTCCAAAATAAATAAACGTTAAAAAAAATTAAAAAAAAAAAAAAAAAGAAGATGTGGTATATACATACAATGGAGTATTACTTGGCAATCAAGAAGAATGAAATCTTGCCATTTGTGACAATGTAGATGGAACTAGAATGTATTGTGTTAAGTGAAATAAGCCAGAGAAAGACATGATTTCACCCATATGGGGAATGTAAGAAACAAGACAGATGAACACGGGGGAAGGGAAGGAAAAATAAGATAAAAATAGAGCGAGGCAAACTATAAGAGACTCTTAAATACAGAGAACAAATTGCTGGAGGCGTGCTGGGTGGGGGGATGGGCTAAATGGAAGATGGGCATCAAACAGGGCACTTGTTGGGATGAACACTGGGTGTTATATGTAAGTGATGAATCACTAAATTCTACACCTAAAACCATTACTACACTATATGTTAACTAACTTGGATTTAAATAAAATTTAAAAAATAATATACGTGTGTGTATATATATAGATACAAGAATGCCTTGTTCTCAAGTCAAAATCTGGCTTGGTATTATAACATCCCACTTAGATTCCCCTTTTTGTTCTTTAATTCTATCTTTAGATTTTATAAATGTTTAGCTATCTTTATCTTACTGGGCTTGGTTTCATCTTATTGTTCTCTTTCCTAATCCTTTCTTTTCTACTTTTGATGGTTACTTCTTTCTGTTTTCTAGTGTATTTGAGTTTTGGTAGAAACTTCCAAAATATATGTATATGTGTATTTGTATGTGGGTGTTTAAGTAGAATCTAAGAGTTTCATCTAGCCTAGTAATCAAATGCTGATGTATAAGCTGATACCATTTGGAAAATAAAATTTTGTATAAGATGATGAATTTTTTATAAAGCAAACTCACTGTAAATAAATTTATTTATATTCATTTTTTACCAGAGGGGTTTAAAATGTCCTTTTATGAAATTATGGTGGGAGTAGAGGAAAGAGAACTTTTAAAAATGACTTTACTTGGCAAAATTAAGAATTGATAACTGAATTTCATACAAATGTTTGCTGTGTTAAAGCCTGTGAACCACCAATGTTTCTAACCTCATGGATAAAGAAGAGGACAGCGCAGTGCAGGTCACCGTAGAGAGACCGGTCTTTGGAACAGTAGGCTTATATTCGTACCATATATCAGTCCCAAGAATGGTACGTGCACACCTGAGATTTCCCAAAAGGTGGAGATCTTGACTTAAAATGTACCACAGGGGCACTTGGGTGGCTCAATCGGTTAAGCGTCCGACTTCGGCTCAGGTCATGATCTCATGGTTCATGAGTCCGAGCCCTGAGCTGAGCTTTGTGCTGTAGAGCTCAGAGCCTGCTTTATGTTCTATTTACCTCTCTCTCTGCCCCTCTCCCACTCACGCTCTCTTTCTCTCTCGAAAGTAAATAAATTTAAAACAATTTTTTAAATAAATTTAAAATTAAAAATTTAAAATAAATAAAAATTTAAAATAAATAAATAAATAAATAATAAATAAATAAAAAGTTTTAAATAAATGAATAAAAAAAGAAAAATGTACCAGAAAAACCACAACTACCTTTTACTGAGCATTTCCTATATGTGCGCTAAATGCTTTACATAAGTGGGCTTATTTAGCCCTCACAGAAGGCCGGGTTGGTATTCTCATCCCTGTACTAGACATAATGGGAATGAAACTTGAAGAGCTTGGGAGCGAGCAACTTGCTTAGCCACACTGCCAGTGAGTGGTAAGGCTGACCTCAGAAGGCAGGCTTCTGAGAATCCAAAACCCTTGAAATCAAAACTTCCATTTCCATATTTAAAAAGAAAATGAACGAAGACAGAGGCAATGCCCTTTTTTATTACAGGATAGAAGATTTCTACAGGATTCTAGTCCATGAAGCATCTGCTCATGTTTGAAAACTTTTATCCCAAGTTTCAGACCATGTTTTCATCACGAGATGAGATTGCCAAAACAAATCAAGTAAGCGTGTTGTTTTCTGCCATAACCTGTTTGCTGAACTCCTGTTTTTAATGCATTTTTGCAGCTTTGAAAATCCTTTAATTTGTCATAGGGGCCCGTGTCATAGGATTGAGCCAGATTCTTTTGTGTTTTAGGTGTTAATCAATGTATTAATGTAATTACTGAGTGTTTTAAAGTCCTTTAGATTCTAGGATGCTATAGATTTTAGCATTCCTACAGCACTGTATACTTCCAAAGTATTTTATAATCATTAGTTAGATGTTTCCCATACAGTCTCAGTGGGATAGATTGGTATTCTTTCTTGTTATTTTACTGATGAGGGCAGAGATAAAGCCAGTTTGACTGACTTGAAGTTTACAAGTCACTTGCTCCATCTAGATTAACATTCAGTTTAAGGTTCCTCATCTTGCGTTGAGTTCACAGGATGAGGCTGTCTCAAAAAATTGGTGATTTTTCAATTTGCCTGCAAACAGACTGGTTTCTGGTTGTGGGAAACTCTGGATGCCAACATCCCATGGGGCCAACCCACACAGCAGAACTCACAGCTCTTTTAGCTGGGTGTTTCTAGGGAACACGTTTAGATGCAGGTCAAAGCTCAGGTCTGAAATGGTAAACCCCATCTCCTTCACTCTATTTCTCTTTGTAGATTTAAAAAACATTTTTTAATGTTTATTTCATTTTTTTTTTTTTTTTTGAGAGAGAGAGCATGAGCAGGGGAGGGGCAGAGAGAGAGGGAGGCACAGAATCCAAAGCAGGCTCTAAGCTCTGAGCTGTCAGCACAGAGCCTTACGTGGGGGCTCAAACCCACGAACTGTGAGATCATGACCTGAGCTGAAGTCAGATATTCAACCGACTGAGCCACTCAGGCTCCCCTCTTCGTAGATTTTTAATGCCTTCAGAAACTGGGCTTGTGCCACAGCCTCACCCTGCCAAATACTACCCAACTCTCATTGCCCCACTTCATACCCTAAGTTGTGGTTCACCCCATCTAATGTACCTACGAGATCACGTTCTAGCGGCAATCTTACCCACATTATACCTTCTCATTTCTTCTCTATCCCTTTTTCCTCTCACCTAGAAGAGTACACAAATGTCAAATTGCCATCCTGCCCACAGGGCTACTCCCTGAAACTCCCCCTTCCTTCATGCTGCCAAAGTGAACGGCCAGAAATGCAAATCTGAGTCCTATCTCCTAACCTAAACTTGCCAAGTCGCTCCCTGTTCCTACAGGATGAAGTCCACTGCTTAACATGGCATTTAAGGGAGATCCTTCATGACTAGTCCTGTGTACCTCTCCAGCATCACTTCCCATCACTTCTTTCTTTAGAATTATGCCCTCAAATTATTTATATTCCCTATGGCCCCATTATTTCATGTCTGTCAACATTTTTTTCACACTCCTTTTATTGAAATACATCCCCTCCCCCCCACACACATGTATTTTGTCAACTGGTTAATTCTTTTTAACCCCTTATGACTGGACTCAGCAGTCAACAGCAGAAAATATTCCTTGAGCCAACAAGGTGCCTCAGTGCAAAATGGTACCCAGCATGTAGTGGGCACTTAATAAATATTTGATTATTGTGGTATTCATTTTGCAACATATACACATATCAGGTCATTATTTTGTACATCTTAAACTTGTACAATGTTAAGTAAAACTGAAAAATGATAAATATCTGAGGAACGAATGACCTGTTTACACTTCTAATTTCCCTCTAGATTTATGCCCCTTGAAGACAATGACTATTATTCATATTTGTATACAAGGCATCTTGGACGGTGCCTAACAAATAGTTACTCAAAGTTTTTGTTTTAGATTTTATTTTAATTTTATTTAATTGCATTAAAAAATCTTTTTAATGTTTATTTACTTTTGAGAGAGACAGAGAGAGAGAGAGAGAGAGAGAGAGAGAGAGAGAGAGGGGGGGGAGGGGCAGAGAGAGGGAGACATTGAATCGGAACCAGGCTCTAGGCTCTGAGCTGTCATCACAGAGCCTGATGCGGGACTCGAAGTTATGAACCATGAGATCATGACCTGAGCCAAAGTCAAACGCTTAACCTAGTGAACCACCCATGTGCCCCTTGTATTGTATTTTAGAAAGAAAGTGTGAACTGTTGAGAGGGGCAGAGGGATAGAAGGAGAGAATCTTAAGCACGCTCCATGCTGACATGGGGCTCGATCCCACGACCCTGGGATCATGACCTTACCCAAAATAAGAGTTGCATGCTCAACCGACTGAACCACCCATGTTCCCTGTTACTCTGTGTTTTTAACTTCTGTGCCTTCACATGTCTTTTCTTCTATATTTTCATGAACACTGATTTATGCTACTAATAGATTTTACATAAGGTGCTCTTTTAGACA